GAATGAACGCGGGAACAGGAGGAAGGTACTTTCAATTCGCGCATAAACGCGTAAATTAGTATAGGAAAAATTAGTGGCGTAACATACGGTAGAACTCCAACGTAATGCACGCCGAACCTTCTTATTTCCTTTATGCAAATTATTTGTTTTCTAATAATCTATTCTCCAATAAACCGTCCTAATACTAATTTACAAGATACATCTTTACGAATTTACATGACATTCACGAGATTCGTTAAGTTGCACTTTCTTTAAAAATCCTAAAAATAAAAAAAATTTTTAAATACCTTTATTTAACGTATTTAAAATAATAAATGTCTTCGTAAAAATGATTCACTGCGCATTTAATTCATTCGATCATTTCCCATTGATCTTCCATGCGATAATATATCAGCAAATATTGATAAGAAGTACTATGTACGCAAAAATTCAGAGCGTAATTAGAACACAATCAATCCATTAGTTTCGTTTTCTCTTAAATTACTTGATATATTAATGATAAGTTGTCTATAAATTAGTATAAATAGCGATAAGTTGTCTATGAATGATGATATCTATCTATTATCAAGTTTTATGATGTTTATATCGTAATCTGAAATAATATATCACTAATATAACCTTACTACATGTAACGAGATTCGTGTAAACTTTGGTCTAACTAACAAAAAAATCAGAAAAATAAATAAAAGAGAATAAAAAAATCAAAATTTAGAATAATATCTTACAAAAAGATCAAAGATAAACCGCTTTATATGACTGGATTTTGCTTTAAGAAAATTCTGCGTCTTTCTCCTCTTTTTTTTTTCTTTGAAAGAAAACTGTATTATCTTGCATTAGTTGTTTACAAAGACATTGAGATGTATCCTTTCGAAAAAAGCACGTTCTTTTTCAATTTTTCAATATCAGGTAGAAAACGAGCTACATAAATGGTTGACCAGGTAAGATTTCTTGAATGACCAAATCGGATCAGGTAAAGGGGAGCCTATCTTCTCGTTGGACTTCGACATGTTTAGACAAGATTTAAGAAAAAAAGAGTAGCATATAGGAATATACTTTCAGTAAATTTCAAAATTTAAAGTTTAAATTACAAACAAAAGTTCAAACACTTTAAATTTTGCAAAAATTGAAGGATTAATAAAGTTGTTCTTACAAATTTTAAATCGTCATTTGAAGTCATAAATTATTAACAAAGCAAAACAACAAGATAACGTTCAAAAACGAGCATAAAAGTTTTTAGATTACAATAAATACATATATATATATATACATATATGTTTGAGATACAATATCACTCAATTCTTATACATTAAAACGTTTCGACTCACAGAGTCTTCTTCGGTTAACAATACAATTAATCTAATAATCTAATCGCAAATTAAAAAACGGAACTAATTGTATCATAAGCAACTAAAATGTTATCCCATCATGTTTATAAGAGTATCGTCATGATGTTATACGATAAAACTAAATCCTTGTTCGAGAGTGACAATCACGTTAAGTCCAAAGAGAGAAGTCAAATGATAAAAAATAGTCTGAGAACGAAATTTATTAAAATTATGTAAGAATTGTGATGAAAAAGAAGTCTTTAATTGCTTATGATATAATTATGACATTAGTTCCGTTTTTTAATTTGCGTTTAGATTATTAAGTTAATTGTATTGTTAACTGAAGAAGACTCTGAGTCGAAATGTTTTAATGTATGAGAATTGATTGATGTTACATCTCAAATATATATTTTTATTGTAATCTAACAATTTTTATGTTCGTTTTTGGTCGTTATTTTATTATTTTGCTTTGTCAAATAATCGAGCGTTTTATATTATCGTAAATTTATATTATCGTAAATTATTATATAGTTAAACTAATGAATCAATAACAAGCGTACATCTGTAGTATATTCTAGAATTTTGTGAGCTTAACGATTTCCTAATGAATTTTAAATCAATCCCATCTTCTTAATAAAAAAAATCATAATATTCGGAAAAAAGTTCAATTTTATAATTATAATAAAAATATCAAATACAAAAATTGCGAATATGCGAAAATAAATATTCATTTCTTTACTTAATACAACTCTTCCGACATATTATAATATTTTAAAAATAAAAGTAATTACAATAAATTAAAATAAGAAATGTGCAAATACGCAATCTAAATACAAAAATGTAAATGTTTTATTATTTAAGTTCTTGTTTAAGAACTTGTTTAAGAATATTTAATAGAGCTGTCAAACCATCTAGTCTATAAAAAGATATATCTGGTCTAGACAATCAAAAATAGGAACGTATTCCGTATATTGAATATTTCGTCAATTTCAGAGATGAAAATGATGCTGATAATATCAAGATTTAAAACAGTCGACCTTGTATTAGAGTAGACAAGGGGGGATTATTGGAATAGGGAAGGGATGAAGCGAAGTATACGACGGAGTTTCCCACGACAGGTGACACGTGAGGACCCGGCAGTCACGGCTGTGCAGGTGGATCAGGTTGGGAAGCAAAGATGCTTGGTGGGAGGCCCAGGCATACCACCAGAGGCATTCAAGAGACTAAACCTCAGAGGCGAATCTAAAGGGTCCTTCTCGGGCCCTGTCCTACAGCGCCTGGAAATCGTTACCGTTTGCAACAATCATCACGTCAGAGAGACGTGATACAGACAATTCTAAAATCCACAAAATTACTTTCAAGGACAGATTTTCTGATAAATTTACTTTTTCTTGGAGAATCTCGGATAGTTTTCGAAGTTAGAAGCGAAATACTTGCAAAAAGACTATTCGTGAAAATTTGGAAGTAGAGGAAAATCCCCTATTATAAAATAAGCGTCCCTAATATGAAATAGCGGCGTTTCCACTAAACTAATAAATGCTATCTATGAGTTCCACCATAAATTTATTGTTCGTAGATTGAAAACTATTTAGTGGAAAATTCATTATTAGATCATGTCTGTAGTCATTGCAAGAAAAGATTTTAAAATTTGGATGTCTTCAAGTTTTGTTGAGATGACCTTGTTTATTATTTAATAAATATTTGGCAATAAATTCTTCATGTGAAGACAGAGTAAGATTGTATTAATAGAAAAATACGTGATATGTTGAATTACTTAATTACAAACGTTAGATTTGGTGATCGTAAAACCGTAAGGCATGAAAATCGTAATATGAGATACAGCGTATTTCTAATATGAAATAAATTATGCTTCATAGCTTCGTCACAGTGAAAATCGTTGCTGAAGTATAAATGTTATTACACAATAATAAAAAGGAATCGAAATAAACATCGAGTGCCTGTTTCTGCGATGTTTCCAACTATCTGAAGGCGAGCTAGATACAATGCATCGCATATTCATTTTGCATGTGCACTGGTTGTGTTTATTTGTATTTTAGAAATATTAAATAAAGTTTTTTTTTTTAATTGCAATACTAATGTATTTTGGGTTTTATTATCGATTTCTCGGGACATCTCATATTAGGAGCACAATTTTTTGACTTTGCGATTTGCTCACTTTTTACATTTCTTTAATTTAAAAAAAAATAAAATTTGAATTAAATTTTACATAACATTATCTTAAAGCTTATTAAATTTCCTTCAAAATGACCTATTATTTTTTGTAATTCTGCCAATACTAGATTTTTAGCATTTACCCAAAATAAATTCGGTATCTCATAATAGAAACCTTTCCTTTATATCTATATAGAGTTTTTTTATTTTAATGATAGAATTTTAATATTTCAGTCAATATTTCAGATTAATGTTGCATTAAAAAAATTTTAGTTACAAAAGACTTGTAATATTTAAAAATATAAAAGAGCAATTAATGTATATATTTTCGTTAAAATCAATTTAAAATTTTATTTGAGGAGAAAGAAACAAAAAGAAAGAGAGCATATGCTGTATATTTTATCACAAGTTACCGGAAACCTGACATGTTAGGCCGCTATCAAAAACTTCTTTCCATTCGTCTGTTTAATAGAAAATATATATACGAAAATATCTAAAATTTAGCTAGATACAAATCTAAAAAATAATTTTATTGGATCATCAAAATAATTATGTAGAACTCAAGCATAATGTTGTAAAAAATTCTAGCAACCAGCTTGAGCATCATACATGCTTATTTCGATGGTTTAACAAAATTATTCTCAAATCTGCATCTAGTTAAATTTTTCAGCAAGTTATTTCGATTATTCAGCAAAACCGTTCTTTCGGTACAAAATAAATTATAATGTGTACCAAGCTGTTCTTTTGTACGATTTTTTTTCCAAAATTCTTAAGATTCCTGCATCAATAATGACATCCATTTACCTGAATATGCTAATTAGCACATTCACACCGGTTGTATATACTACGTGACCGAGTGCTGTGACGTCCCTGTTCAGCTCCGAGGGCAAGGGACGTTGGCAGCAACGAAGAGAGGCTTAGGCTTAACGGAGAGACCGAGGTCTTTCTTTTCCCCTCCGCAAGTGATGAGAAGCGGCAGGAGTCTTGAAGCAACGAGCAAAGAGAGACAGAGAAAGAGAAAGAGCGAGAGAGGATGAGTAAACCGATACGATGATAAAGACAGTTTTCGGCATTGAGATATATGAGATTTCGATAAAAGGTATTATTACCGTTAGATAAATCGTAAAATAACATCTAATGGACCAAAGCAGATACACAATATGAAACAACCTTCCTAATCTCGAGAAGAACAAGAAAATTCTACCTGTTCCTACATAGGTACTTAGAAAAAAAAATCTATTGTTACAAATCCAGGTACATCGTTGATTTAAAAAAAAAAGGCTTTAAAAGTATAAGAGTTTGAAGAAAAAAGGCAAGATATATATATATATATATATATGAGGAAAATGCATCTTCAGAAAAAAGTTTCGTAGATTTCGTATACCTCCCTTTTTCCTCTTTTTCGCCCGGTAGTCTCGAGTCGCGTAACGAAAACGCGATGACACACGCGAAGGCAACGCGAAGCGACGCGAGACGACGTGAGTGACGCGGAGAGTGACTTACTTGAGGAAGTAGATCTGGCCCTCGGGGGTGCGCGCTTGCTCCCATCCGTGCGGCAGCGGGCCCAGGTCGTCGACCGTGCTGATGACGTCGTAGCTGCGCTGCTTCTGATGATGGTGGTGACGCGCGTGCGGTTGCGGCGCGTGTTGCGGCGCTTGCTGTGCCGACGCGTACGTCTGCTGGAGGGAGGCCGGGCTGCTGTGGGCGCGGGGATG